TTAGTGCATTTGAACAACCAATGATATCAGTTGGTGCATTTTAATAACCAGTGACATTAGTTAGTGCATTTGAACAACCAGTGATATCATTTAGTGCATTTGAACAACCAATGATATCAGTTAGTGCATTTGAACAACCAATGATATCAGTCAGTGCATTTAAACAACCAATGATATCAGTTAGTGATATCAGTGCATTTGAACAACCAAAGATATCATTTAGTGCATTTGAACAACCAATTATATCCGTCAATGGATTTAAAAAAACAAACGATATCTGTTATTGAAAAATGTGACTCGAAAACCCATAATCTTAATATTTATATATTGGAAAAGAAATAATATTTGCGGTGAATACAAAAAGTCAGTTATACTACAGAGAAAGTGAAATTGAAATACTACATGATGAATAACTAAATTATTTGATAAACTCGTCATAAATGTTTCACAAATGAAGAAGTTTGGTTTTCTACAGCAGTCCACTCATCGTCAATTTTATTTGTATTCATATTTCCCAAACAATGTCTTCCAGTCATTTATATACATAAAATGAAGATATATTTTTTATTTGCAACGTATCATTACGACAGGGGTGGATGTTAGCTGCATAACATACTCTTCCCATCTGGCAGAACACAAGCTAGTCATAACTAAATCCTCTTTTATACCATGGTGATTGGTGGAGTTCTTGACAGACTGGGGGGGGGGAATGTTGATTTGATTCAAATTTTGGAATACAGCGTTCTAGTTGTGAATATAGAAGCAACTAAAATATGATCTGAAAAGAAGAAAATATTTGGAATCATTACGAGTGCAGTGTTGTATTTAAAAGCATTAAATTATTGAACACCATATAATACTTCGAAGATAAAAACGCCTGACAGAAGAGTGCAGTCATTCCACTACAAGGTAGGAAGAACTACACTGCAAGGTAAAAGAACATTTATTTGGAACAGGAAATGATACCAATAGAGCTAAACGTCATATAACATAAAATTTCAGCAACTGTTCAGGGATGTAAGTTATTATGTCGACAAATGAAACAAATGGCATTGCTTCTGGCAAGCGAACAAAATTGACATTTGATGAAAATCGGTGGGTGTTCGGGTTGTAGATCAGAAGTGGTGTTTTGAAGAGGACTGATTTTAACACCAGTAGTATAGATTGCGATAACAGTTCTGACAACAGAACGGGTGTGCTCCTAGACGTGTTGCTGCCTGTGAGTATAAAGCTGGTGCTTCCGGTTGGCATGCAAACTATTAATTTAAAGAGAAACCAAACGCGATGGATCAGAGGCAGCGGAAAACGAGATTTGAGTCATTCTGGAAATTGGCCAATGAATTGGATTCTGACAGTAGAACAGACATGTGGATTTTCTTTGTAAAGTATCTTTGTGTATCAGATATGCACTTGGCAGATATGACATCTTTCATAGAATTGTTTCAGTAGATGGTAATGAACGTTTTCGTATGGCCATGCAAAGCCTTCGGATATGTAACAATTAGTCAGTCAATAATTTAGGCAGGGGAACAGTTGTAATTGCAATATGTTGGTAATTTTACTCATTTCTTATATTGCTTGTAATTTGTAGGCTTCAAAAGTTATTTTTAGTAGATATAATGAGTATGTGATTTAATACGATAGCCTAAAATGGCGTCAATGTCAAATGTTTGATATATGCCTTAGGTTTTAAATAGAAATCTTTTAATTACGACAAAGAAACAAATATGGCTGGCATCGCATTGGGAGCAGGATGTGTTCACTCATTTCGAAACATCCGACATGACTTTTTGTTTACCATGGAGTTCATTTGTCCATCTCTGATTCGACTGTGTTGTGTACTGTGTTGTTTTAATGTGGATTGTACGATTATTGTCAGTCGTGTGTTTCGTGTTTTTATATTACTTGTGTTAAACGATCTATGATTGGGTATGTTGTTTTCAATTATGTAAAAGTTCATAAATATGGGGATGAATTTCGGGGCCGTTCACATAGAATCCGCACCCACAAGGGGACTAATAATTACCTGAACAAACTATAGAGAACTTTCATCTCGAGTCTACGCGTTTCGTCACACAAAAAGTGAACTAAGTGCTATTGTTGAAATAATCAAAACAAAACTGACGACTTTCTTTGCTACACCACCTGAAAGGAATAAAATCATCAATGAGTAGACAATATTTACAAATGGTCACCGAAATTTCGTTGTGACTGAGAAAACAAAGTGACTTATGTTTTGTTTAAGAACCTAATTTGCAAAAATGACAGTTATTCAGTTATTCAATTTAGAATCACAAGCAACTTACTGGTATTTAAAACGACAGACTCATATTTTCGTTTCCATTCCAACAATCGGGTATCTTGGAATCCTTCACACTTGAGGACCGCATTGTGGTCAGACAGTGTCGGTACGATCACCACTGTGCTGTATGAATCGAACGTTCCGTCATCGTTTTCAGTAAAAGATTCACTCTCTGGTGGCACTTTCTCATTACTCAAGTACCAATTAAGCTCTGCTATCGGTTTGCCACGTGTTCCCTCACAGTCGAATGAAATAGGCTCCCCTGGAGGTGCCCATACGTAATCACCAGCATTATATTTGAGAATATCAATAAATTCCACCATATCTGCAAATAAAAACAAACGTGATGGCGTTTTCTTTTCCTTCAATGTGCGCTGACTGGCTGACATACTCACCTACGTGTACCTATTCACTCCACTCACTCACACATCCGATCTCATCATATTGTCTCCATTTCCATTCAACGTATTAGTCCCTTCCTTGTTATCCCATCCGTCACCCATTAAGTGTACATATGCACCTCCACCGTGAAATAATTTTAAGCCACAACGGCTAATGCTAAATTTTCTTAGCCCAATTAGCAATCTGTTTCGTTATGAAAGATTTTTTTTTTTTTTCAAATTCATATAAGCAGACAGCTTTTATTAGACAATATGCTCTCCTGGTATCTAATATACGTTTCTGTGGGTATTGACATATTTTTAATTAATGACCATTCTTTTTAGAATAATTCTTGTTTTGAATATTTTTTCATTGCACTTTTGAGGTAAACCAAATTATTTCTTCATTGTCTAGCGAGGGGTTAGTGAAAGCATGATGGATCTTCGGATCTTCTATCATCTATCTACCAACTAACACATACGTCCGCCAGATGAATTGTGATTATACTTACAATACACAATTAACTCTGTGTCCCCTTCACCATACGCCTTTGACAAATAAAAGTTGACTTCGCAAGTGTACAAACCGTCTTCTTTTAACGTCACCTGATGAATGAGAATGTCGCCACGTGACCCCGTGTGTTCGATTCTGTTACCGAAAGGCCCGTAATACAACGGCTCGTTGTCGTCAGTTTTACTCATAATGACAATCTCTTCATTTGCGTCCGCTGGTTGGAACAGCCACGTGATTATCACATTCTCCTTGTAGTAGTCAGGATATTCGTAGTTGCACATCAGACCCACGGTATCGCCGTATACGGTCTCACGAATCTCGTACGTACTGACCCGTATTTCCGACTGTTGTGCGTAACATAACGCAATACCTATGAAATAATGAATTCAACATGAGTATGGTCATAATAAACTCATCCCAAGTTTTGCTGTAGATTCGTTTTGAAGTGGACAACTATTTCAGTCAGGTTTTAGATTAAAGCTAGGAGTCGTCACTTGCGCATGCGTCAGATGGCCACAGCGTGTCATTGTTTAAAAACAAACGTCTACCCATGAGCCTTTGCGTCTTTAGCGTGTGTTGTTATCGTCTCTTGGGACTCAAATCGCGCGCGTGCGCAGGTGACGACCCTCCCCCTTTAAAGTGTTTAATTATTTAGCTGATAGGTAAGGTCCCAAATCGGAATGACGTTAAAAAGACATGTTGCTGCGCACATGCACATCATTTTGCTATATTCCGACCGAGGGAATTTGTTGGCCTGTGAGAAAACAGCGGGTTTTTATACTTGAAATTTGAATGGAGCGAAGAAATGTGCAGTGCACGTGTCTCATAAACAAAATAGTTTCATTTGATTGAAGTAATTTCACTGAATTAGACACAATAGCGGTATAAGCGAGCCATTGGTATCCGTGTCAGAAATGAAATTCACTAAAACCCAACATAATTTGCTGTCTAGGGCAGCTGGTAGAAAATGTTTGCCACTAAACAATAAGTAACAAAAAAATAAATAAACAACTTGAAAAACATGCTTGTACCTTTTATAGTCAGGTGTTACATATAGTTATTCATTAACCATCATGGAATGCAATGGGGGTCAACCTAGCTAACAACACGGGTATTCGTGCAAAAAAACATGTCTACCTCGCTAACACTAAGACCAGCGAGACACACGGCAACAATAAATAGTATGTCAAATAAGAAAATAGTTCCGGGCAACTTGAAATTTGCATTTTTTACCAAAACGTGATGGCAACATTTTCGCCGGTTTTTTCGCTTTTTTTTACCACCCTCTTAAAAAGTCGTTCGTTTTGGGGTATGTGTATGAAGACGCCATGGTTGATTTCATCCCAACGCACTATTTCTCAACGCAACCGTCTAAGTTCAAACGCCTGCACAGCCTACGAGAAACGTATGACATGCCTTGTTTAGCGACACGAGTATGATTCGTTTTGAAATGGCAGACAATGAATGTAGTAAATTTTATAGCACAGACGTAGATTGTAATAGCCCATGTAAATTATGCATCGATTTAACAACTGCTATAATATCAATGTAAACTCACCTGTTACAGCGACAATAACTTTCAGAAGCACTCTGGTCGAATTCGCCATTTTGTCTTTGATACTATGCAAATATGTGACGATTTGTTTTTATACCCTGCTGCGCTGTATTTGATTTTCAGTAGCTCGGAGTCATAGTCTGTCACGTGATCTTTTAGGTCGGGCTCAAAGTTCGTGTAAGGACGCGCTGTGTCCCGTCCCTGTGTAATATTAATTTCTAACAAAATTTGCACAATACTACATGACGTATTATTATTTAGTTATTTATTTGTTTATTTATTAATTCATTATTTATTTAATTTATCACGTTTTTTTTTTGTCGTCAACAATACAGAAATAATTTATAAGTTTTGGCCACCGCTCCTATCTATACATGTTATCTGAACTGATGCCTGTGTATCAAAAAAGGTATTTACGTCATACATACGCGATTTTCAATCAAATCAATCACAATTCAAGACAAAAAACAAATGTTCCTCTGTCAGATATTTGCACATTTGTAAATAAACGGGCGTAGCGTTGTTTTACAATCAAATGATTTAATCTCTTGTTTCACAATAGTAGATCTTTTGTCTTGACGCAGTAGAGGGGGGGGGGAAAGTGTCAAAAATATCTCTTTAAATATGCGCTTGCAACTTTTAAGATAATTTTACTGAACGTTGGAATTTAGCCCAAATAATAGTTGGCCTTGTATCGTAGAATTATTTTCGACATGTTTGTGGCCATGACCTCAAGCCTGCGTACGTGGGTGGAACTATCACCATGGTATCGATGATCGTCCCGTACCTGGTACTTCACCATGCAGGAACTCTAACGGAATTCATATGTCTGACTATTGATATTAACTATTCAATTGCAAATCATGTAGAGCAGTATACTTTCAATACCCCCCCCCCTCAATGCGCATGGACAGTGATTAGTTAATTGTGTGTCAAACACCAATCTGTAGCCATCAATATGAATTGCCATAAGGCTGATAATTTAACGGCCTCAGCCGGAATGACCTTTCACCGGTAAAATGACTGATACTGCATATAATACATTTGGAATTAGTCATGTGACCCCTGTGTTACAGATACTAGCGACCTATCATCTACGGTGTCCCATAAAGGGTGTGTATCATAGTATCTAGTATATGTGTGTTAGTGTTTACAGCAGCCATCTTTATCAGTCCCATCATTCAGCTATACAAACACACACAGTCATACTAGATCTAGGTGTAATCTGACGCGAATTTAGAATTCGAGGACGTATGACCAATATAAGTGTTGATACTATTATTATAAGGTTTATTTTTTGTGAATGAATTTCCTCTGCTACGATTATTCTTTCTAAACGTTTTCATATACCCTACAGGTACTTTGGATTTGGTCAATATTCAGTTGGGATATTCCGCTATCTGAGATTGTCACACATTTATTCCAATAATCACATGTGACGGTGTATATTCGGTCTCTGTCATAGTCGGGATTGCTTGCCACAGCCCTAACCTGACACAACTTTAGTTATTTCTTAAACAATGTCACCTATATCTTGCTACATATATTCGGTTGAAGTCACTGCCATAACGCCCGCCTACTGAAGTTAAATCACATTGCAATTGGTCTTCCTCTATATATTTACCCAATCGCAATCACTTCCACTGTCATTGTTTTGTTTTATTAGTACTAGTATGCAAATGTGCAAGAGAAATATTTCACCCAATTTGTAGAGTTCTTAAAACAACACGAACAAACAAATAAAATAAGTAAAATACTAAAGCTGAAAATGAAGAGGCAATTTTCCAGCTCAAAAACAGGTTTTACGCATGATATAACATTTTCCGTATTATTTATACATAATAACGTACACTGATAAACCCACGTAAACAATATAGATGATTGGGTGGGAATAATTTCACACTAGAAGTTTTTTTTTAGTTTATTCGTGATGATTGTGTACCGATATACTGTATTGCGTTCAAAATGCCACTTCCATAATGACGCGTGTGTATCGGAATAACATAACTATTTAACATCAAATGTTAACACTTTTCACATGTCCGGTTCACGCATAATTTATTTCAAATAAAAGTTTTCACCATAGATAATTCATACTGAGTACATGATGATGTATGTGATTGTACAGTCCAATTAAAAGTTCAATTGTTACGCAAGATAATTTTAAAGATTTATCAAAAAATGTTGAATAAAAACCTAATTCGGATACTCTCATCCGAAAGGTCAATAATGAAATCAATAAAATGTTTAATTGCACTTCCAGAATATAGATGTACTATTAATAATTTCATTAAATTTGCTTTACTTCAAAAATAAAATGAAATAGAAATACAGTTAAATATTGTATAGTTCCTTTTTTATCTGATATCACACTTCCCGAAACAACTGATACTCCTTAGCGTATGTCGGGAAGCCCATTACAGCACACCCCTTTTCTTCTTTTCTCCGACGATTCAACCCAACACTGTAACATGTAGTTCAGTCACGTGTTTATTGTGTTTTTTGTGACCTGCACTTTAACTTTTGGCGTTGCTGTTTTCGATTTCCAGTGGATATTCTCTCATTAATTCAATTCACTGACAACATATAACATATCCTACTCAATCTTCATAATAAACTTTGCTTATGATAGAAGCATATAGTACAACATATGTAGCGGTGACCACTATTCGGTCTACATTCTCACAAATCATTGTTAGTGACGTGCAATCAAAAATACTGTAAATGCAATAAAGCACGTTACTTTTATTCATTTTCACGTATATAGTGATATTTTTAGCACAATCACTAGGTTTAATGTGAATGTTGATTTCATTTCAAAAGTGAAAAAAAAATCACAGTGAACAATATAAACCTAAATTTGGGTTTAAATTTAGTACATTGTACAATCAGCAACAACAAAAACTGAACTCACATCATGAATATCTTTTCAAAGGCATATGTATTAATTTTTGTCACAAATACTGTCAGAGATCAATACAATTGTTATTCAGCAATATTAAGTTGTTAAGAAGAGAGATTAAATTTAAGCATTATCAGGTTCTTCGTATTAAAACGTAACTAATATCTTTAATTGGAAATGGTAAGGTGGTATATGTTATTCCCAGCTACTACACTGAGCAACTCTCAACTATATGTCAACCATTTGGGGATATGAGAAATTTGGACGAGTCATTGACTCCAAACCTTACCCATAATGCATTCAAAGCTCACATGGGTCGATGCCTTCCCGTTTGTGAGGTTAAAAAAGCAAGGTTTCAAGTAAACCTGATTATGTTTATATATTAATTTATTTCAGCAAAATGCCCATATTTCCAGAACTTAAAAAAAAATACAATCATTATAATTCTGGTGTGGACCATGGGAATAGTCCTTATGAACTAGTCCAGTCCACGGCCCAGACTGCCAAGTAGAAAGTGACAAAGTACTGGTAAAGGAGAGGAAAATTACTATTTACATAACGAAAAGTGATCTATGAGATTTAGATATAAATATGAAGAAAGTATTATGTATAATAATAATATAAACGAACTACTGGTACTATGAATTTACATGTTAAATAAAAGAAAAATATGCAGAGAAGTGGGAAGTAATCGAGGAATTCAACAAAGCAACTGTTTCATTTCGTTTTTAAATTTGTTTCTGTTTTTGAGGGAGTCTGTAAGTGAATTACAGTATTTTACTGCATCAAATTTAAAATTATGTTGTGAAACTGTAAGTTACCGCCAGAAACTGATCTTGTGGGATAGCAACGTGGGTAATCATTTACATACTTATTGAGGCTATATGCATATCTGTTGTGTTTAAGGTCGAAGATAAAAAGACAGGTTTGTAATTTACAAAGTTTGTGAATATCAAGTATGTGTAATTGAATAAAAAGAGGAGCTTTAAAGTGCGAGAAGGTGATAAGGCGCACAACCTTTTTTTGTAAGAGCAGAACTGGTTCAACTTGAAGTGTTGGGTATGTGTTTCCCCAGATTTAATACAGTACATTAAGTGTGGGATAATAAGTGTGTTGTAAAGTAGGATAAGAATTGATCTGTGAACATAGTGACGAATGCGAGCTATAATGTCCACTTTGGGACTGATGGTTTTCACAATTTTGTCAATATGAGAATTCCAATGTAGGCATGGGCCAATGGTTACTCCCAGATAAGTCGCTGTAGACACGCCCTCTATCAACGTGTCATTGATTGCCAGCTGTCCCTCCACTTTTACTTTTCTTTGCGGGGTTTTCAGGATCATATAGTTTTTTATATATATATATTAATTGTTAATTTATTAGATTTCAACCACTGAACAACATTTCCAAAATCATTGTTAATTATTAGAAAGATCAATAGAGTTAGTTTGCATGAATTTAAATAAATTTGTATCATCCGCAAAGAGGTTGAAATTGAAAACATCAGTGGAGTGGTTAATATCATGTATGTAGAGAAGAAAAAGTAAAGGCCCTGATATTTATCCCTGGGGCACCCCGTATTGAATCTGTCTGGATGTGGATGCAGTTCCGTCAATGCTTACTGATTGGTGTCTATTAGTTAGGTAGCTTCGGGACCACGAAAGCGGGAGACCCCTTATCCCATAATAAGCCAGTTTTTCGAGGAGAATTTTGAATGAGAGTATCGAATCGAAGTAACGTGTATTATGATTGGCTAATATAGTTTGTAATATCGGAATATGATTAAATGCGACTTTCTATATAAACGGCGGAAGTTATCGTGCCGTGTATGTGTGGCATTTGTGTTGATAAATATTGACTTTCCCACAATCCAATGCGTTCTTCTAATGGAAATCACGAGTACGAATTTTGACTGATTACCACTGGTGACTCCTTTTTCTTTTCAATAACCAATGAAATTAACTAGTTAAAGTTAATGACGATACAGTTTGTACTCGCTAGTCTGCGCTACAGTCAAAGTCGCCATCTTTGTTCGTAAGAGAACCCATACCATTCGCATGACGAATGTCATGTATACGCCAACATAGTTAATCAATAACCTTCGTTATCGTTATCGGACATCGTGAAATACAGTAGGGGTCAACCTGGCTAACGACATAGGTATTCACGTGTAAACATGTTCACAAAGTACTTAAAACCAGAAACTTAGGGCAAAATAAATAGTGTCATAAAAATAGTTCAGGGCAATGTGATGTTGTCTCTGTTTATATATGAATAGTTATTTTTGACTGGACTGAATATTGAATCAGGGTGAAATGCAAACATATAAATTCAGTTGGAGGATAGACACACCTGTATTGACATCATTTCAAATATTAACTATTGAAGTATATGTGTGTGATATGGCGCCCCGCCAGTCTTCTAAACGAACAGCCGCTCAGTGTGGGTGGCTGGTGGTCAACTCTTTAATTAATATGTCAAAATTAGAATTGAAATCAAATTTCTTTGGAATTAGTCACTATATCACAAGTAACCATCATTACACATTACCATATGTGTCGTAAAGGTGGTACATGTTTGTATTTGTCGTAAATGTGGCATTTGTCGTAAATTTAGTATTTTTAACGACTGTGGGCAGATGACCGTTCACGGCTTCAGTGACTGTTATTGCGAATATAATACATTTGTCATTATCATGTCACAGCTGCGTTACGAACAAACCCACAACTGTCCGTCCTCTAGGAACGTTAGCCATACTACGTTGAATGCTAATTCAATGCATGACAAACTAAATGCGTGTTGATACCCGCCGACCACAATCTAAGTAGTATGATTAATGATGATATTTCATCTGTTTTTGTTGATGGTACTTTGATATCCCTCGTACTTTGATTGTATTCTAAAATAACACTCGATTGGATGTTTATGCAAAAAGCTATGTGAACGAATTGGTTTAATCCGTGTGTTACATTTATACATTCCCACTGGTTGTCGAATTTTATTTACCACGGTCTGATACAACTACTGTTGTTGATTTGTTTGAGGAAATATAACAACAAATCTTGATAAAATAAGTGTTCCCAATGTTATGACAATCAGACAGCGTATTTTCTATTTAGCTACTTTCCTCACATTTAAATGTTTGAATGATGATGATGCACCTACATGTATTTCATTATTTCAGTATTTCGATGTGCACACCGATATGATAGGTCACCATCTCATATCAGCGTCTCAATATGGGTCAACGCACTTTTATAGTTACCGTACTGCTACACTGGGGAACCCTTAACCAATTTATAATACCCATTGTTTTAAAGCTAGCCTGTGTGATTTTAATCATACAAATATACCCCTGAAAATTACCGTTGGTTTTATTTTGATACTTTCTTTGTTTTACGTAATTTTTGTAATTGAATGTTTATGTGTTTTATTCTGATGAACCCCGATGAATAAATAAATAAATAAATAAATAAATAAATAAATAAATAAATAAATAAATAAATAAATAAATAAATAAATAAATAAATAAATAAATAAACACAACAATTTATATTCAATAAAAGTGCACTCACTCACTTCAAATGACGTCATTCTGGAGGAACCAATTGCACGCGGAATGTTTGGTGACTGAGAGTGAATGTAACGCTTATGATCACTGATATATCACTACATGGTACAACTTATGGTTGCATGAACGCTGAAGATCTTTTATTATTTAGACTTTATTAACAAATAGCAGCTGAAATCTCTCTGAGAGCAACAAATCCGCGTGACTTTTTTCCCCTCAAATAATGTTCCATCCAGTCACTTTGCAGCCGTGTTTGAAATCACCATGTTCTACTTTCCATTGGTGAACGCGATAGTGGTTTCAAATGGAAAATTATTTCGGGTGAAAATAACTTACGCGGCTATTTCGCTTTCATCGAGATCTTGGCGGCTATTTCCAACTATATTTTTTTTATATTTCTATCTGTATAAACTTGGTTCTGAACAACAATATAAATGCCGAGTTGTGTTCCTTTAAGAACTCGAATCCCAGTACCTTCGTGTCGTTATGAACATCCGCATTTGACAGACTTCCGCCCATTGTTTTTTTTGTTTTTTTTTGTCACCATCAACACGGCTCATTTACGCTTGTAACGTACTGCTATTAAAACAACTTTGGTGAACAATTCGTAGTAGTTAACTTCACCAACATAGACAAACGTACATACAATGAATGACCAGTGTATATCCATCTTTTGCGTTATACAAGTCTTGTCAATTTCAGCGAATTGTTGTTGTTTTTTTAACCTGTGACGGATTTATTCGTAGTTAAGCTTTATATCTAACAATATTCCACACGTGTTTGGAGCAAATATATTAATACAATTGTATTTATACAACTGTTTTTAAGCTCATTCAATTTCATTTTACCACATCGTACATATCGCACAACCATTCAGAGTAATTAATGTTGGAATCATATTTTATTTAAGGCAACAAAACAAAAACAGAAAAGAAAGCTGGACATTTACAAAATGAAGCGTTATTACTATCTACCTATAAAAAGGGACTGAACGACATATCTGAATGACTAAACGAATTGGTTAAATCTGATCTGAATTATTTGAAAATGTATAGCATGATATTTCTGAACTGTTAAATATCATAGATTGGATATCATTTGTGGATTAGATTATATTTAAATATGTGCAATCACGCGTCTTTCATAATATATGATGGGCGCTATAAGTCCTGACAGGTATTGGGGTATTTATATGTAATCCAGGGAACATGATGACGTCATCGCTCATCACGTACATACGGAAGCGAGTAAACCGGAAACAGTGACAAATAAATAAGAGCTAACCTTTAAAAACACCGGGGGCATTATGAGAAAAAATGTGCAAAAGTAGACTTTTTTTAATATGACATTATTCCACGAATGCTTTATTTCTTGAGATTGTACAGATGTGCATGTACATATGTTTTTGTTCTTTATCAATATTTATCATCCCCCTGAAGTTTTTGATGATTAACCATACCACACTATCATGATTGCCTCATTTTTCTCGGAGACAATACTTGAACTTGCTGACAATAATGGTTTCTTAGATATTGATATATGGTGGATGAGACGTGTACAGAAGAATGTTCTCATACGTCTTCTTGTCTGTATCCATACAACTGACGGTATCACCAACGGTGTTCCTTATAACTATCTCTCTCCATGGGCTAAACAGTAGTCGTTTATTTGAATTGTTATTACTGTGAATTGTTTTCTGTGTACTTAGACCTGTAATTCCAATTTTCTGATTTGTTCATACTACATTGTCAACAATTGTAAATTATTTGAAGACTTCACTATGTAAATTAACAAGGAGAGTGTCCATTCATGTCGTTCAGATATATGGGGTAAATCTGGATCAGAATTTCTCGCGTGCCTCGCCGTCCACTCGGTGCCTTGAAGACAAAAAGAAATTGAAAATTGTGACAGTACTGCCATTGGCATGATACGATTGATCGATAAACTTTGATGGTTATTACGCAATTGGTGAATTTCAGTGGAATATTTGTTTAATGCAGTGATACATACATTTTGTTAACAAAATTATGAGCGGCTTACCAAAATCAACTCGTTAGATGTCCCACCATGAGAGAAAACGCCAAGAGAGTGACACTTATTGCTGACGTAACAGCGCCATCTGGAAGAAATGAAAAACGTTGTCTTAGTCATATCACGTGTGATAATAAGTTTGCTAAATGCAATGATCACGTGACCAAATCAACCACTGCGCATGTGCCCTCTCTCTCCCATATGCATACATACGTACTTGTGTTTATCATTATCGTTGCTGCTTTTGTCAGGTCTAAATCCGGTTGCTGGTCAGATTCGCATTTTAGCACTTCGCCATGATCGGAATCCTCTGGTGTAAACTGTAGCAAGCTGATTGTGTTGAAGGTACCATCTACATTTTCTTCAATTGTTTCGCCGTGTTGCTGCACTTCATTCAAACCCTTGTACCAATGTAACTTTGCTGCCGGTTTGCCCATTGTAGCTTCACATTGAAGTGAGTTTGGTTCACCCGGGGGAAAGTAATATGAACTTTCCCCGCGATCTCGGGTCTCCCCGTACCCAAGGATTGAGATTTGGTCTACTAACTCTGCACAAAGTAAAACAAATGTATTAGCATATTAAAACATGGTTGTCTACCAATATAAAAGACGCTTTGTTGCTGTTGCCCACTCCCTCCCCCAGACGTCGCGATGTGCCGTGTTTGTTACGGTATACAACACATTACACAAAGTATATGTTCACTAAATTACGAAATTCGGACACGTAGCGCCATGAACGTGACGCCAGATAGTCAAGACGGTAAACTCGAAAACAAAACTTGGTTCAATCGCGCTGTTTAATTATATCTCAGTTGAGCGTTTACTTTTCTAAAGTCATTTTATTCAGGTCGCATTGGTTCTAAGGGATCAAACACTTGAATTTGTGAGATGTCTGGTTCAATGTATCTGAGTATTTTTATTTTTTGAATGTGACAACTGTATATCCTGCACCACGCATTTTTTTCTTTCTGTGTCTAGCTAGTTTTAAAACAACTCTTCCGCCACACCCGTGATTTCAATTGATCGACCCCTAAAAAAATATTTGTCAGGGCCGAATGATAAAGCTTGATGATTTTGGACAGTAATACTTACGACTGATGTGCAAGTTAGTATTCCCCGACCCCGTCTCTTTGTCTGCATAGAAGTACACCTCACACGTATACACTCCCGCATCGGACAGTTCCAGCCGCGTAATATGCATATCTGCTTGGACACCGAGCAATTCGGCTCTACCGGCGAATCTTCCATAGACTATTGGATCATAAGTGTCGGTCATGCTGATCACCTGTTCTATCTCCGATTCGCCCTCTGGCTGCATGTACCAGTTGAGAACGCGCTGGACTGGATGGTCCTCGGGGTCTTCGAATCGACATTGAAGCTCAGCGGATGATAAGACTACTCCGTCAACGTCAGACTCGGTTTGGACATCTATCTCCCCATTCACCGCTGACAAAACTGCAAATAATAGTAAACATGAATGACGATTGTTTTTATTGAACGAGATTAGTATTTTAAAATCCAGTCAGGGAGTTTCTCTCATTTGCATAATAATCCACTGAGTTACCATAGCTACGTAAATAGTAAAACATGCTACATGTTGTTATCTATTTGCTACACTTCACCCAACATATGGGCTAAGCATACGAGTTGTCCAGATAACAGTACCCATGCTGGAATAGACGTTTACTTCATGATTTTGACTCCCAGTAGCATTAGTGATTTTAATGGTAGCTTCATATCCAGTCGTGGCTTGAATAAACATCATTAGTTCAGTGAACCAACATTGCTTAGTAGTTTTGGGGGTTTCTGTAACACTAAAATCAACCAAGGTGAAGGGAATTTGAATAGTAATCCAGCGTGACAGTTGATAGTTATTTAGTGCTGTTACTTATACTGTCTATTTCATAAACAAGACTACGTGATTTAAAACGCGCAATTACATTTTCGCGAATTTCGCGAGTCAGTGTAAATGGCAAAATTTTGTAGAAGTGAAAAATTTCCCCAGGGTCCCACAACAAGATTAGCAGTAAATTGCTCCAGTGCCCGTAAGTAACAAAATCTGGGGAAATTAAGGATATGCTATCCTTACCAGTGGACAATAATACCCAAGCGTCTCAACGAGTTGCGGACATCAAGTTCCGAAAATATCGACTTACAAAATCTACCACGCCCCTCATTCAGAAACAACGCCCTAAATGTAACTCGAGGTTCACTTAATAGTTTACAGAACTTCGAGTTACGGGAAACCTGTATTTTTGTTCATGTCGAACGTCCACATTTAGTAACTCGAACTTCGAGTTACGGGCAACATAGAATTTTTGTTTTCCCGTAAATGGAAGTTCGTTAAACTGATAATAAAAATTCGAGTTACTCAAATTTGAGCTTCAGCAAACAGCCGAACATTGCAGTATTAATTAATTAATTAATTCCAGTGGGTTTTTTATCCAGTAATATGGTGTAAGATACCTGTGTACATTGCTTAGTGTAGTTGAATTCAAGCCTATCTTATCACGTTTTGCTACCATAAATCTAGCATAGGACAAAAATGCGAGCGGTCAAACATTCTACCATTGTTGAGTAGATAGTGCGACAGATATCGGGGCAAGGCAAATTTCCACAATAATTTGAGTCCATCCATAGCACTATTAAAAAATACAACTTAATGCATCTTACACAGAATATTAAAAGTTTACTAACACTGCTTTCCTTACAAGCTTTATACAGTTCCAGTCAGCCAGTTCGTACTGTTGTACATAGTTAAGCTGATGGATTCCATAAAGAATAACCATTTGGTAGTATAAAGTGGAGCATTTGACTTTGACTAGTCTGAGTGCGATTATTAGACCGCTGTCCTGCCAGTTAACAAATTTCACTACTAGAAACACGGGGATGGTTGTATAAAAAAGATTTATGACGACGGATGTCATGTGACTCCTACCCTTATTGTTGGCAGCGGAGCATAATGGTTAAAGGTATAACGATCCCTGCGAACCCTCCCTCTTCCTTCTGTGGCTGTGTTTTTCCTACCTAACGGGAAACACATAATCACCTCAGAAGATCAATGGAAAGTTACAAATCAATCGAGCTCTCACCAATGACAGCGACAATAACTTCTAGCAATGTTGCACTCATGTTGACTTGGTGTTGTATGATGACTTGTTTACAACACTTTAGAGCTGCATTTGGCTGGAATTAGTGACGGCCAAAGGTTAAATCGTGTTGTCCCGAATTTAATTAGGGGAGCGTATAATCCTGTACTGTGCCATGATAACAGGGTAATAACAGAAATGTGCGCAAATAACCAAAATATGATAATTTTTCAAAAAAAAACAAAAAAAAAACAGTAAAAAGTCTTGGCAGTTTTTAGTATTGAATGACTGTTAATGGGAGTGTTATTCAACAATAATATGATCTCAATGTGTTTATACTTTCGATGTTTTATCTTTTGGGAGATTTTCAGAATTTTCGAATTTGAATATTTATGCAGATTAGGAAAAAAATCACCCTATGCCTGCAGATAGACAATAGCCACCAAATTAGACAATAAACAAAAAATGTATAAAATAGTGACTTTTCAGTCGACTGCACCCTCAAATTGTCTTTTAAGGAAACCGTAGAACGCGGCGCAACGCATGAAAAACACTGATTTAGGACAACTTGTCTGTGCAGACGACTCGACAATATTATTTTCACCCCAACTGTGTTACTTTGCAGTAATTTTCGGTGATTTGTTAAGAATCCCGAGAGAGTTTATTGCCTAGAGAATACTCGTGAGATATAAATTCAATGCAACAAGATAAGATAATAACGCCTGCCGCTATTTTAGTTTTAGTCATTTATTTGCCTGTCCGAATCCAATGTCTTCATTTTTAACTAAGCACATTCAACGCAATGTATTTCTCACTTGGATATAGGAATCGTTTATCTCAGATAAACGTTAATCCGATGTTTTCCGATTGTAACAATCATAACACTGCGTGTTATATGTAATATATTAAAGAATTAAATAATTAATACTCAACTGATTTCAAATAAAATTTGATAAAGATCGATTGCAATATGCGGTTTGTTGGTGAAACATAGCTGTACCGTTAGTAGCACGAGGGAACTTGGTAAACCTATTATCGGACTGTTTTCCGTAGCATTAGGACGTAAAGTTTACCAATATTAGTACCAATTTACCAATATTAGTAGTTCGCGTACTGGATAGTTCGGTTATAGCAAACGCATAGTTCATGCCATTGGTTTAAAAACACACAAAAAACAACGAATACTTGACTGCGTGACGGCGAAATAAATCATGCATGACAAGTTATGATAGTCCATGTTGACCAAATCTGCTAAAAAAACTCGTGAAATAATCGATCAAAACTCACCTGTAACAACGACAATGACCTTCAGAAGCACGATCACGTTGACTTTGGTAGATGACATTTTGGTTACAAATGTTACTGTGTCGCGTCGGAGATGTGTTCTGCGCAGAATCGTTCTCGGTCACATGTGATAGACGGTATCCGTTGGTCCTGTCTCGCTGGCATTAACTCGCGATGATGTTGTAAGCATATTATTGTTGAAAGGACAGCTATGAGGACGCCTAAGGTGGTTAACGGCCTGTTTGTGTCGAGGTTCTTGTGAAAGTCCGAGGCCTATTCTTTTTTACCTTGGCCCAGATAAACTATTCCGTTAGCGTTTGAGCACTTTAACGAAGTAATACTGACAATTTGGCGAGGTTTAAGTGTTTTATTTCTGCAGCTCAATCGAGGGTTGTGCCTTGTCACGCGTACGTGTGTTATATTTTATATATAGGATAATGGGCCAATGACTTGTAGTAATCGTATGTATGAATTACGTTGAAGTACATGTTGTATTCAACTACTGATCATCTGCTAGCTCAATCCAGGGGCTGTATGATAATCTGTGCGTTCTGAAAAAAGTCCCGGAACGACCGTCTGGTGTACGGCCTCGGGTCTCAGCACTAATTGTACCAACCCTTATTAGCCAGCATTCATGCAGAATAACTGCCCCCCACCTAGTTTGTTGGTGGGTCTATTGGCGGGAAAGTCCAGGGTCGTTTTTAGGTCCCTGTTCGTCCCTGACCAATGCTCAAAATGTGTAACTAGTGGTACAACAAAGAAATAACATTTGTATGTATGTAAATTTGAGTTATGTTTGTCAGAATCTGCTCCGTTTTGGTTGTCGGACAAACCATGTACACATGACTTAGATGGAATAAAAAATCAATGTCAACTACTAGATCTAGAAATGTCCCAAAAACTTTGAACTTTTACCGCGCATTTTCTACGGGTTCTTCGCGAGGTGCAGTGGAACGCCGGTCGAAGAACTGGGGCGAAAACAGCTAAAGTCGACAAAACAGTCTTATACTAATAATGTTTTTCGATACTTTATCAAGAAAGCCATCCAAAGGTGTTGTTCCAATTCGTCCATTATTTACATGCAAAAGACATTTATTAAATTTAGCACATATTTTTTGGGCTATGTGTATAAACAACGAACTTCCCATCCTGATAAACTCCGATGTAGTTAGTATTGTGATACGTAATTGAAATTGATATCTGAATTGGGGGGGGGGGGGTAAAACAACAAATACGTCATTCACACCTAGTGCTATACAGTATTATTGTGCAAATCGGGAAACAATTGATACATACAAAAGGTTGTGAAAACAAAATAGCGAGAAATTTAATATTCGTAAAACTATAGATAACATATTTTTGCTGCCCATGTGGTAATGCAGCCGACACCCCTACTTTTAAATATAAACAGTCCTATAATATATATTGATACAAAGCTCACACGTATCACGAACGCGTCAGATTTTGTTTGCAATTTGTCGTGAAATTTATTTATTAAAATTATGATTAGTGGATCAGGAATTACCAACTTATGAATAAGCAAATGCTCGTCCGACACCCCCCCCCGAGTGACGTCAAACTCGTTAATGACCTAAGGGAAAATATATACCTTTAAATAATATAAGCCAATTAAAGCTTGGTGGTGAGCTTGTTCAAGTTAGTTTCTCAATATTAAACATGTTAAGTGTTCTTTCTTTATATATAAATATGTTGCATAGCATGACGTGGCGTGACATGACGTATTGTCAGATTCCATCACGTAACTTGTCCTGTCGTGAGAAGACTTGACGTGCATGGCAAGGTAAGACGTGACCTGAGCGATATGGCACGACCTTCTATGACGTAGCCTGTCCCCACGTGAAGTGCATAACATGACGTGATGTGGCGCTATTTGGGGCAACGTGGAATGACGCGGCCCATCCTGACATTACGTCACGCCATGTCACGTCACGTCACGCACCATCAAGTATTCGCTGTGGTGCTCCAACTCAACCGTACGTATATAGGGAAAGTGATCTCTGCAAATGGAATTACTGATGTCCCCCTTCCTCTGCTTGTGCCTGGTGGGAAATGGAATGTTAAAATGCTAAGAGCACAATCCATATTTCTGAGTATAGGTTACGCTGGACAATATTCACAAATACGTTAGCCATTTATACAGAGAGGTTATTTATTATTATAGAGAAAGGTGTATTTTCACTTGGAATTTATTTTTATTGAAGAGATAATTCAGTGAAAATACTATTTCTGTTTTGCGTGCAATTTATCTAAAACCTGCTTAAATCAATTAAATTAACCGTAAATGTCATTTTAGAGACAATTTAATCAAGTGAAAATAAACACAATTAACTTAGAACAATAATATCATGCTTCTTACCAAAATTAACTCGATAGATATCCAACCACGACAGATAACATCAAGAGAGACGCACTTGTCGCTGACGAAGCAGCGCCACCTACAACAAAATGAAACCTGTATATCGTCACCAGGCTTGGCAGAACGCATGTCGCGTGTGAAGTTAAAATGGGAGGGTCGTCACATGCGCACGCGCGGGAATTGAGTCCCAAGCGACGATAACAACACACGCTAAAAACGCAAAGGCTCATGGGTAAACAATGACACGCTATGGCCATCTGACGCATGCGCAGGTGACGACTCGCCCGCTTTAAATGAGATTCACGTAAGAATTTGACATAATGGGCAAATTGTGAAACTCATATCGACTGTGAAAACATGTTGGCAAGGAAACGACAATTATTCAAGGATATTTCAGTCGAATTCAAGCTTGCATCTAGTGCGCTTGCTACTGAGAGTATACGTTTTTATTTTAAATAAATTAATATTATTAATAATAATAATAACAATAACGACATTTATAAGTTACATCACCCAGTAAAGCAAAGACTATTCCCCTTGTCAATGATCTTTAACCCCCTCCTCATAGAATTGACTGTTCTCATTTTCAATTTTCATTGCCAAGCGCCGTAGTATTTAATGTGAAACAAGGTGTTCTCAGTAAATATAAACAACTCAATCTTCAAGGGGGTGAACAACATAGATACGTTTTGTTTTAACAATACTAATGTTATACAATATAAGTACATAAATAATTAAAATAGAACCCCCGTCCCATGTATTGCGACGTATACGTACTTATGATTACAGATGCCGACTTCTTGAGTTCTATCTCAGGTTCCTGGTAAGATTCACATTTGAGGATAGCTCCATTGTCAGATTTCCGTGGCGTAAACTGCAACGTGTTGATCGTGTTGAATGAGCCATCCGAACTTTCTTCATAGGTTTCGACGGTCTCCATCAACTCTTCGTCATCCTTGTACCATCTCAATTTGGCTACCGGTTTGGCCCGTGAAGCTCGACATATTAAAGTCTGTGGTTCATCCGGTGGGAAATACTTGACGACCTGTTCGCCTTCTGGACCTTCTCCGAGCCCGAATATTGATACTTGGTCCACGATCTCTGCACAAATGTACAAATATACTTAATTGAAAAAAAGAGAATCTGATTCGTCCATCTATGAATCAATTCTCGTAAAACTGTCAAATAATATAGTTATGTCGCGAAAGCTGATTATATATCCAAGAGTCTGACTATATCTCGGTATAAATATTGCAATATCTTATTATATCGCGGACTATGACTATATTTTTGGAATTGGTTGTATTGCGATATGATATCGCGAGGGATCGCGAGATCGAATCATATGATCTCATTCTGACTCTTTATCAGGGAATATTGAAACATAAATCACTCGATGAAATAACTCCCATATCCCCTCACTTGAAACTACGACACGATCTCAGAGGAACGAATTTTGTATATTCGTCTGTAGTATGAGCTGTTCTCTCGCACTAAATTATGACGTGAAAAGAGATCTGCAAACAATAAGATTATCGCGATAGTACGAGATCATACTAACGTGTGATGTGCGAGTTTCTCGTGTGATAAATTCATTGTATGGACTTACTGCTGATATACACTTTAGTATTTCCGAGTCCCTCCTCTTTTGCAACGTAGTAATTAACCTCACACGTGTACACGCCCTCATCGGCAAGTTCAAGCCTGGTGATTTCTATGTCACCCTGTTCACCGAGCATCCCATCACCCCTTGCGGGCCCTGCTCTTCCGGCGTACGTTCCATAAACCTCGGCATCTTCCCTGTCCACCATGCTAAGCACGTGTTCCATGTGCGTGTCGCCCTCACGTGTCTTGTACCATTGGACGAGTCGTCGCAACGAATGTTCGGAAGCTTCTGGAAATCGGCATTGAAGGGTAAGCGTACGATCAACCACTCCTTGTACTTCCGGCAAGGTTTCGACTTGTAGAGCGGTTACTACTGACAGAGCTGTGGGGGATAACAAATAAAAAAAAAATCAAGAAGAAAGAGTGATGTGTAACGTTTAAAAGTCTAGACGGTAGGGGTATTGTACACCTCCCCGGTATCAATTATTTATTATCTTAGTTTCCTGACTTTATTTTGTGAAATCTATTAAAGTATTGTGGTTCGTGGCTGATTCTTGTTTTATCCATTCATGTTGCGCCCTCTAGCATGAAAACGTTGAGATGACGTAAAAACTTCAAGTTGACGTTGAGAAGTTAAATCGGCATCTAAAAAACAATGCCGTTTAAAACAATTGTGTTTGTTCGCTCCACGTTAAGCAATCTTTTGAAAACATTATCCACTGCAAATCAATAAAATAGCAACGATGTGAACAGACTCCCCCCCCCCTCCCCCTGCCTACGCCTCAAATGCGCTTCACAACACAGATCATTAATGACATCTAGTCCCTGGCGTTCAGTCGCCATACCAAATTAAAAAGTTAGTCCACATACGTCGCTCCGATAAAGAGTTAGAGACAAATACACGGTTATTTATTACTGTTTACATAGCATGTGGTAACCTTCACGTTCGGGTCACGAGATGAAGCAGTTCTCGCGTTAATGTATAACTTATTTGTCTATATAGGAATGACATATAGCAAAGTTACGAGGCCAACCAGGATGCTGAGTTACGAGCTTTCGAACAAACGATTCGCCATTGATCATGCTTCCGTTCGATACTTCGGCGGTATATGATTTAATACTTGTTGCCTCATCTATTTTGCTGTTTTCAACTATACCTCTTCACGAGACGGTGTGAACGCAGTGACATACACTAACAATTGTTTTCTGTCTGAAATAGTATTATGAAAGAACCTGGTTGCTTCGGAAAGTCCGACATACAATTTTTTCGAAATGCGTGAATTATGACGAATTACAATTTTATTTATTTGTTAATTATGGAAAGATATATGTAAACAAACTATAACCAACATTGCATCATTTTAAATGTCATTTCGCCCTCAACAATATCACCCTCCATACATACCAGAAACAATAAATACAATTCAATTGATAAAATCCAAATTGTTGCTTATATTGTTTCATATTACAAACAAAATCAATCATTTGCATTTATGTCAACAAATACCTCCTCGCTAAATTTACAAATATAAGTGTTATAACCACACAACCTACCCAATTGGGGACGTTCATGTTTACGCGTTTACAAATATATTGAGTTTTGGACATCCCAATTTGACCAAAAAAACTGATGATGATATCATAATCATTATCGATTGCGAGAGTTTGCGGGATGGGACAGTTGTCAGTTACAACCCGTTGCTGCTACTGTAAATTCGCCGCGTTGCGTTAAATGTGTTAAATTCGTGAAAAATATAGTCACATTGTTCGTTTACATTTACATCATCAATTTGATAACGGAGATACGACAGTAGGAAGACGTTTTTTATGAAACACAGCTAAATTAAACTAATTTTGACCTCGCCTGCTAGTGACGTCATTGTGTATGGCACTTCACCAGTGAGAGTAAGTGACGTAGTGCATCCGTCCAAAGTTCACTACTGTGCACAGAATTTACAGCGCCGCCATTTTCACGTTAAAAACACTCACTCCATCTGTAGTCTGCACAAGATTAAAACATGAACTCCAGTGGAAAAAAAAAATATAGTTTTAGTCAAGGTGGTGTAAATTGACACTCACTAGATTTAAATTCTGACCAATATCTGACAAATCACGAGAAACAGCACTTTTTGTTGAATTGTACGGTGCCTTAGCAAGT